CGGTGTATGGAAAAACTATGGAAGACAAAAGAAAACATATGGATTTTGAACTGGTGGATAATGATGTTAGGTATGAAAAATGTGTGAATAATCCTACATTCAAAAATAGATTTATCATTAATGAAAATCTTGTAGGAGTGGAGAAAACTAAAGCGAAACTGAAATTGGATAAACCCATATTCTTAGGAATGACCATTCTTGATTTAAGTAAATTACATATGTATGAGTTTTACTATGGTGTGTTGAAAAAGAAATACAACGAAAATATCAAATTGATATATACAGATACTGACAGTTATGTAATTCAAACCTTCACTGATGATGTCTACAAGGATTTTCAAGGAATCAAGCAACATATGGATTTTAGTGATTATCCTGTTGAACATCCATGCCATGACACAACAAATAAGAAGGTCTTAGGAATGTACAAAGATGAAGTCAACGGTAAAATCATTACTAGATTCATCGGGTTGAAGCCTAAATCCTATGCTTTCACAATCCACGGTGAGGATGAGGAACACAAGAAATCAAAAGGTGTAGTCAAGCACAAGGTTAAAAAGGAATTAACATATCAAAACTATCATGAAGCACTGCATCACAACAAAAAGCATGAAATCTCCTACAACTTCATCAGGAGCAAAACACATCAAATATATTCAATGTCTCAAGTCAAGCAATCATTATCAAACTATGAAAATAAAAGGTTTTATATTGATGCTTTCAATTCAATCCCGTATGGACACTACGCTATTGCGAAGCAATAGCCTAGTGAGCTTCGCGACACTACACAATAAAATAAATATCTAAATAATTCTAATAATATGAAATTATTAGAATTATTTAGTGGAGGGTTTGGGCTTGGGCTTGAAACTTGAAATTGGGGTCGTTGGTGATGAGCTTGAAACGGATTTTGTGATTTTTTGGGTTTGGATGATTTGGGAAATGGCGGATTATGCCCTTGTTTTGGTGGGTTTTCAGAAAGTGGAGTTGAAGGGTCGAGAGGGAAGAAACCTTGAAAATTGGGTTTGGGGACAAACATTGAAACAGAAAATTTGCGATAGTTTCCCCTTTCAATTAAACAACAAGTTTAAGGAAAGAACCCTCCCTCCCTACCCTCCCATCCCACCCGACCCAGAACCTAGAAGGCGACAGCATCGTAGTCGATGAGGACGATGACTTCACAACCTCAGAGTGTGGCAGGTGCGGAGACTATCAAAAGTAGGGGAGGGTGTGGTGGGTTGGTGTCACAGAACAAAAATAAAGCGTGTCCAGAACGATAGCCTCACCTATCAAACCTCAGAACCTCCAAGCCTTCAAAAAAAACAAACTGCCTTTCAAGGATGTCTTGAACATCGAGACCAACCCTGTCAAATGTCAGATGAAACTGCTCGAACTCTTTTGTTTTCCATGCAACTCCAAGTCTGTAATCATCTTTTTTCAGATGAAGTAGAACCACCAACACTGTTCATTTTGTTGAGTGGTAAAGCGAACATGTCAATCAGTCATTGTCGATAATTTCATCATCGCACTCATCATCGCACTCTTCCTGCTCGCTCTCTTCCTGCTCACATTCGCATAATCTGTTGTAAAGGTTCATCTGGATAGGGCTGTCAATCAGCCTCTCCCAAATGTCACCACTATCAAAGCTGAGTTCAGAGCTCTGTTGTGAATTGACCTGCAAATACTTCTTGCGGTGTCTGACGGAGAGGTCGTTGAAGTGTCCCCCGAAGTTTTCAAGCTCGTCATCAACCTCGCTGTATCTGGTGTTCAGGAGCCTCAAGGTGATTTCGTGCTTGCACCAGCCGTTCTCCTTGAGCCACACGTTCTTTTCCTTCTCCCAAAGCACCTCAAGGATGTTTTCGGTGGTGATGTTGGTCACGTAGAAGCCGTTGCCAACAGTGATGCGAACATCAATTCTGCGAATGGGAGGATTGTAGAAGTCGCCCCTGAAGAACAATACACACACCGGAAAACCGAGCACATACCACATAGCATCTCTGGCATAGTGCTTCAAGTCGTCAAAGTCGCCTTGCGCATAGTCAGCCTGTGTTGCGATGCACTCATTGAACCGGTCTTTGACGAGTTCCCATTCCTCATCACTGAAGGACTTGCCATCCCCAAAACTTTGGAAATACAAATCCTCACAGGCACGCTTGGTAAAGACAAAGCTAAGCCCATAGTCTTCTTCATACAGCGGGTTTTGCTGAAAGTTGTTGGCTATGATCAGGTCCTTTGCTCTCATCTCATTTTGGAGTGTCTCAATTTGAGCACGGAGTTGGACACATTCATCACAAACCATAGCTAAGACGGGCTAGCAGTGAGAGCAGGATGTTTGAGTGTCAAAACTAGCAGGAACTCTCAAATGTCAAGCGTGTCAGTCAAAGTGTCTAGTTCAAGCATCACTAACTGTAAGCTCCAGCTATTTTTCAATCCCGCGCAAAGCCGTGGATGTCTTTCATCCAAGATGTGGTCAATCAAAAAGCCGTGTTCTCAGACACACCGATGGAACCACGTGGGCTCAATCCTCGCAGGGGTTATTGCAACAGTGGCAATGTGTATTCCCAAGGTGGGAATATGTGTTTCCGCGGTGGAAATAAGTGTCTATTTCAATGGTGGAAATATGTATTTCCGTGGTGGAAATATGTATTTCCGTGGTGGAAATATGTATTTCCGTGGTGGAAATATGTATTTCCGTGGTGGAAATTGAAACTGCTTTGTTTTCCCAAATTGTCCTCCTCAGGAGACAGAGCAGTTGCTCCCATTCTCCGGCATGTCGGCTTCCGAAAGCTTCTGCGCTGCTGCCCTTGTCAAAGCAGACCAAGCGATGACGCCGTTGGGGTCAGAGTACTCACAAACGATGGTAACCAGCACAACATTGGACAGCAAGTTCTGGGTCATCTCGCAAAAGTTCTTGATGTTGTTGATGGTCTTGAACTCATCATCAAAGACATTCTCCGCGACAAACTGTGCCCTTGTTGACACCCTTGTCGAGTGGTTCATGGTGTCAGTGATGATGGTGCTCAACTGCTTCTTGCCGAGCTTGGAAATGAGCGTTGTGGCGCTCTTCTTTGGGTTCTCATTGATGGTTTCCATCAATTCCTTCACCTTGCTGACGATGATGGCGATGAACGGTGTCTCCGTGTTTGTCTCAAGCTGTCCGATGGTGTTGGTGATGTTGAAGCGCAAGTCCTTCTCACTGACTGGCTTTTCCCGAGAGGAGTGTGCTCGCTTGCCACCGCCACGCCCTTTGATTGAGCAAGTAATGGTGATGCCCTTCTGAACTCCGACCTTGCCCAATGACTTGCGTCCATGGCGGTTCAGGTCAAGGATGTCATGGGTAAGCTTAATGGATTTCTCCATTGCCTCCTGCGCCTTCTGGGTGATCCTCACCTTCTTCACCTTCGTGAGTTCCGAAAGAAGACGGGAGACAATCAACTCACGCAGGTTGGAGAACGTGGTAGCCAAGCAAACCATCAGGGTGAATGTGGTGGAGAACCATTCAAAACCAACAGGGCGGATGAAAATCTCAAACTCCTCGTAGTTCTTCTCTAGGAGCGCTTGGGATGCCTGCTTCTTCTTCTCATCCTTCATCTCATCAGTCACCTTCTTCTCGAATGCCGTGATTTCCTTATTCACGTTGGTCAATGCCTGACGCAAGTGCTTCTGATGCTTCTCAAGGTAGTCAAGGTGGTTCATCAACACCACCTTCGAAGTCTTGAGCGTCTCCATGTCGATGCCCTTGAGGTTCTCACGGTTGGTGGCAATCTCAAGGATTTCCGAAATCAGCATCGCGTCTGGATACTGTTCCAGTCCTTCATCAATCTCTAACTCTTCACTCTCTGACACCGACGAAACTTCAAGGGCTTCAATCTCCTCAAGGCTCATGCCAAACTCTGACCCGCTCTCGGAAGCGATGACAGACATGACTGCTCAAAGATAGAAAAGTGCTTGGACGCTTGGAATGCTTGAAAGCAGAAGGCTTCGGTTGTTTCAAGTCAGTTAATGCTCAAGTGCGTTCGCTCAAATGTCCTCATCTCAGAATGCACAACGAATGGTAAAACTCAATTCAACCAAGTGGTCTCAAGCTTGTCTGCTCAAACGTCCATTCGAAGTCTGAGTCTCCCGACGGAAACAGAAGACGATGTCAATGAGGACGTGGCAACGGGGCGAACGGTGGCAAAACAATGACAAACCAGAAGACCCGACCAAAAGCCAACCCGTGAATCCACAGAAAGTCCTAACCTCTTTCAATCAATAAAACTAAAAGTTGAAATCTGGAACGAGACAGGGGACCAAATCATCAATTCGTTACCACATCCATATCGTTATTTCATGCCCCCAAAATCAGCCTTGAAAAAACGGATAAGGTGGTACACGCGTTGAAATGTGAAATAAAAAACAGAACAGGCAACCATCTACCCCCCACCCCCTAAGACCAGCCTTTTCTACATTTTTTCCCCCCCTACCCCTTCCGCTTTTGCGGGTCCAAATCCCAATTTTGACACGAAACGCACCCACTAAATGAAACGCAGAGACTCTTGCCACCGGACTGGGTTTTGTAGTTTGTAGGAGTCTGCATGCGTGAGAAATCTCCGTCCTTGGCAACGGGCAGCTGTTTCGGGCATCCATGCCCAGCGCAAGTTGGTCGAACCAAGGTGTCAGCTTTCATGTGCGCCACTGACCGAAGGCAATCTGCAACCTACACACGAACCCCAAACAACACATAAAAGGGACAAGGGACACGCGGTACACAACCACACACTTCCTGAGCTCCTGTACATATTTTTTGTGAAGACCGTTTTAATGGCCTTCAAGGACATCTTGTCGCTGTTACGCCACCAAAATAGGGATCCTCCCCGACTCCCCCCCACCCAGAACTTATATATATATATAGTATATATATATATACACATAAAATAATTAAGCTTTGTCTTTCACTTTGGCTTCTTTTTAAACCAGAACCTTTTCCCCTGCGCGGGTGCTTGCTGAGCACATCCGAGGCCTGGACAGCTGGGCTCCGCCAGAGGAATGAAGCAGCTGAGGCAACAGCCCATTGGCGTGGGGGGTCAGGTCGAGTTGGGACGCTTTTCACCCCCTCGTTCCTCGGTTTGGTCCCTCATCATCCCCTTTACGCACACATACCACGCATCTTGGTCCCTCATCTTGGTCCCTCATTTTGGTCCCTCATCATCCCCTTTACCCGCATATACCAGGCATGTGCTCCATCTGCTTTTAGTGGGACGTCGAACAAACAGGGGCCAGGGTCGGAGCACCTTGCTTGCGATTGTCCAAAGTCGACCTTTTTTGCCAGGTTTCTGGGTGCTGGCCAACATTCGGTGAGTTGACCCCCATCAGCCCAAGATCTTTGCTTTGCTGAGCAAAGGCACCTAGGCGTAATATGCTGGCCGATTTGAGAAAGCATGTTAGCTTCGGCATCTATTGAGCACTTCTCACCGGAAGAGCCCGCCGGCCCGGTTCTTTATGACCTTGTTCACAAGGGTCATGATTGGTCAGAATGTGGGAGGAACCTTCAACCTGTTCCTCCGTTTAGTTTCCCTTTGCAGTAACCCCCCCCCCTCCCCCCCCCAAAAAAAAAAACAAGGGCGCAGACAACAAAACACTTCCGTATTTGATATTTTTCTCCCGCGGTGCCTAAAGGAAACGAAAGCTAATGTCCGGTTTAGATGCAGAAGCTCCACAGATTTGAGGCAATCCTGATCATTTACCATCTACACCCGCTGGCTCACTAGGGCAGTGCTTGGTTATTGTGGGAATGGAGACTCGACGGAGCGAAGACATAGGGTAACTTCTACATGATAACGTAAAGTTACGAAATCGTTTGGTAAACTGGAGACCTTTGGTTGATTGCTTTCTTCATTCGAGTCTCTGGGTGAATCACAACAGTGCAGACAGCACACCATTGGCATCAGCCTTTTTCGTGACCCCGGCGACTCGGGCGTCCCCTATGCCCCGCTCGGCTCGGTCGAAAGCGTCACACCCAAAAGGTGCCAAATGCTGAATCTAAATGGACATGAATTTTAGTAAGGAACCACCTCCAAAGTGGTTGGTGGACATAAATACCAACCTAAATGATGTCCACCATGAAAATTTACACCCAACTGGACATGTCAAACAGACATCGTGCAGTCAGGGATTCCAATACGATGCCCCCACGCCTTCAGACTGATTGATCGCACCCTGCCACCCCTTCACATCTCCCCATCTGGTTTGATGAAGTCGGGCCAGAAGGTGACTTGAAACGGCAGAAAACAATGGTCTACTGGGGGAATGCTAGTGAACAAAAGGAGGAAACAAACACAGGGAAACGAAAACCCATTGAAGGCGCAGAGAGTTGCACCGAAAATTGTCCCGAGGGCGTCAGGCCAAGACACGAACACACAAATACACGCATCCTCAGGGCGTCGAACCTCCCTACCTAAATGATGTAGAGGGTCCCCCTGTTACAATTCACACCCATGTCGACCAAAACGTTGTCCACCATAGTGTCCCACGTGGGTCTGTGTCAAAGTAGTGGGGCTCCCGCAAAAATGCGCTTTCATGGTACTTTTTCCTTCTTGGCTTCCCTGTACACCCAGCTTTAAAATGGAACCCCTCAAGAACGGCCGGATCTGGTTGGCTTCAGGCAGAGCCTGGCCACCACCCGGGGCCCTGCGCAGCTGTGTGTGGGCCCTCCTCCGGCGGATTGGAAGGCCGGGCCAGGTGGGGGGGTGGGGGGGCATGGATGCCATGGATGCGAGTCGATTTTGCACACCCCAAAAACCAACATAGACCCAAAGTGTCCACCGGAGGTTGGTTGAGGTCGGGGGAGGAGGGGTGGGTTGAGATGGTATTTGGCCATAAGCTCCCCTTCTTGCAGATTTCAGGGCTGCAGTGGATTTTAGTATGCAGGTTTCAGGGTTCCTTTTTGGACACATCTTTGGTTGGCCCCTAAAAAGTGTAGGATTCGGCCCAGCGGTTTGCGGGCTGTGCCACCTTCGAATTCTGAGCTAAAAGAAAGGAGGAGGAAACAATATGAAAGCACAGCATGAAGATAGAAGAAATACAGACTCTAGAACATACGGCTTCTAGAGTCCCTTGACAAATAGGTACGAAATCACTTCCAATCCCTCCAACAAACCAGGCTTTCCTAAAAAGCAGGTGATAAGACAGCCCTGCACTGTAATGATCATAGCTTAGAAGCGTTGGCTTTCTAATGAATATTACTCTGCTCAGGGCTGATATAGTGCCGGAGATGCCAAAGAAGCAGAAACACAAACACCACAGAGTCCAAACTTAAGGGTGCCATCACAGCACACCCTCGGGACCTTTTCTAGAAATATTGGTGACATACTTTTTTCACCCATCCCAAATAAGGACTCGCTTGCTTTCGGGATGGTTGTTTGCAAGAAAAACCGAAGGGAGCATCCATTCTGCAGGCTTCCGCATGTTGAGCAAATTGTTTTGCGGCCGAAGCTTTCGTTGTAGATTTGTCTGCCTTTAAACTTGGTGGACTCCATTGGTTTGCATTTTGTGCTCCATTAAAGCCATTGAAATAATGCAGTAAAGCCTATTTCTGGTATTTTAGGAGGTTACCACTGGATGGCCAATTTTTGTTTGGGTGGATCCATTTCGGGCTTCCCCGATGATTTTTTTTCAAAACCTCAAAAAGAGGCGCCCTTTTGCGATGGCTTTAGGGTGGTTGTCCTCTTGACAAAACCGACAACAAAGAGGCGCGGCTTTGCAGTGGCTTTAGGGTGGTTGTCCTCCTGCCAAAACCGAAAAAAGAAACGAACAGCTGCCCTTTGCAGTGGCTTTGGGGTGTGGTTCGGGTCTTTGGGTTTTTCGATTTTCCTTCGAAAGCTACGGGCGTTTTGCCCCCCGTCTTGCCAGTTTGCACCTCGGAGGTGCTGCTGCAGCTGCGGCTGCGGCGCGCGGGCTGGGAGCCGGCGCTGCTGCAGCTCACCAGCGAGGAGATCCGAAATCCGACAGACGGAGCCCAAAGAGGTGGGTGTCCTTTTGGCTTCTCCCGGAATTCCTTTTGGATTCCAGTTGGAATCTCTCTTGGTTTCCAGTTGGGTTCCCTGTAACTAGGTTCCCGTTTTTTTTGGTTTCCAGTTGGTTTCTTGAACCTTTGGTTTCCCCCTTGTCGAACCCGTGGGTTTCCCCGAGTTGTTGAAGAATCAGGATGGGAGAATCACGGGGTTGCCAACAGGGCCACTCAGGCATTTATATAATTCCTCTCAGGGAATCTGGCTTCTGGAATCTTTGGTTCTCTTTGACACTCAATCCCGTTTGGTTTGCTGCGCCACCCGACTACTGGTTTCGATGGAGGGGGGTGGTCCTGGGTTGAAGTTGGGTTGGAGTTGATTTGGGTTGGAGTTGGGTATTTCTTCAACTGGTTCCCCCGCCCCCTTTTGCTGGCCCAACGAGAGCTGATGGTGTTTTAATGGGAGCACTAGCGTGGCTGAAACAGCGCCTCAAAGAGGAGCCCATTCGAATCCTTGGTGTCAATGTCGAAGTCCCATACCCGGAGGCGGTGAAATCACTCCCAATCTCAGTCCGGTTTTGGTAGACACAGGTTTCCAGGTTTTCCGTTGCTCGTACGTGTGTGCTTTTGGTGTGTTTGTGTGTGTGTGTGTGTGTGTGACCGTCGGGGGTGAGGACTCAAGCTTCCTTGGCCTGCTCTGGCCGACGAGCGAGTGACGGGCACCAATCGCTTTCCCAGAAACTCTGGGGAACAAAGCGAGCTGGAACAGGGTCCCTTAAAGGATACATTTGGGCCACTAGCAAGTCACTTTTACCAGCTGATGTGGAGGATGTTCTTGTAAAGCAGGTGGTTCTTGGACGCATCCTTTAAGCAGGTGGTTCTTGGAAGAATCCTTTACGGACCCCCGATGTGCATAGGAATCGCGGCAAGGGCTTTCGCCTGACAGAATGAACAGCAGCTAAGCGGCCGGGACAGACTGATATGGGTTTGCCTCTAGGGCAACCCTTAAACGGGTTTTTGACCCTTTAGGTTTCCCTTTTGAAACCGCTCCTACAGTGGACAGCTGACGCTCAGCGAGATGGACAGACGATAGCCCGTGGCCGTGGAGTTGATTTCGTCTCAGCGATGGGCGGTCCTTTTTGAAGCTACCCTTTGAACAATGAAAGTGAACAGGAAGGTTTTGGACTAGTGTCCTCTTGAAAAGGCCATTGCGGGATTCTCCTCGGATGTCAAGCGTGCCCCAAAAAGGGGCAAAAAGGACCAGCCTAAGGCGTTTCACCGACCAGGCGTCTGAAGTGGGGACGTCCACGGTCGAGATCCTCAAGCAGAAAAGGATTGGCTCAGGTTTCTGGCGGAATTGAGCTCGCTGGTGAATGAGTCTCTGCATATTTGAATGGGAATTAAATTTGACATATGAGAACAACATGACGCGATATGACGTGTCATGTGACTTGCATCCTTTAAGATATATATATATATATATACAATATGTGCATGTATTTAAGAGCAGTGGATACTTATTGTTCAGGCCTGCCTCAAAGCCTGGTTCCCATCGACGGAAAGGCTGCCAGTCTGCATTTTCCAATGAAGGCCCTAGAGGCTTGGGTCGCTTCAGACTCAAGGCTTGAGTTAACGCTCAGTCGGACTTTGCCAGTTGGACTTACCAGTTGGACTTTGCAGACGCCAAGAACCACACAACCTCCGCCCCAACCTCCTGGCAAACAGCTCGGCCTAAACAAGGCTTCATTTGGCCTTGTTTCGCCTTTGAAAGGCTCATTCAGTTCCACCGCTTGGGGCTGGAAAGTCATGTTCAGTCCGCGTTCAGGATGGTTCAGGCGTTTTTGACGCTTCCAGGCGGTTGGCTTCCTCTCGGTTTCCGAATGGGTTTCCTTTTGGGTTCCTTTGAAGCCGTCCAAACTGGCCCGATTGGCAAACTCTCTCGAGCAAGCCGCCGGCTTTTTTATCCGCAGACGTGCAGCTTTGGACGTCGCGGTCCGGACTCCAGCTTCTGTCTTTATTGACTCGGAAGGATGTAGGTGCGTCTTTCTGTTGAGGATGCCCCTTTTGGAGTGGTTTTACAGGGAAACCAACCCTTCCCCTATAAGACACACCCATGTTTTTTCCTAAGTCGGAAACCCTTGAACGGGTGCTGGTCCATACTCAGCAAGCAAGCAAACGAAGGGAGCTCATGGCAAGTTTCGCTTCGCGCTTTTGTTCGTTCTCAACCTCGGCCCGAACAAGACAGTTTAGGCTTTTCTTTAGCTTCTGTCTGCCAGTTTGTTTGTTTGTTTGTTTGTTTGTTTGTTTGATTGTGCTTGCTTGTTTGTTTCCCACCACCACAAGGGCTGGGAAGGAGCTCTGGTACCAGCCCCATTTTTCGAGAAGAAAAGCCTTTGCGCATCTCTCCGCGATGGTTCGGATGCGCGGGCTTTTGCGGCTTGGACGCGTCTGATTCGGCCAGTTTGAAGATCACTTGGGGCGATGTGTTCTCGGGTGATGTTTGAGATGCTCCCCCGAGACTTCAGGAAGCCAGAGAACCCGTTTCGCGCGTGTGTGTGTGTGTGTGTGTGTGTGTGTGGTTTGGTGGTTTCCCCCTTCTGACGATCATAATTAGTCAAATAACTCGGGGTGGGTGGGTGGGCATGTGTTAAAATAGGGGGACCCCAAGCTGGCGGGTTTTCCTATTAGTTTCCCTTTAAACCAGCTCAAACAAGGGGTGTAAAGGAGCTGCTGTTTGCTTGCATATGGAATGGCGCAGGCAAGTGGGATGACTCAGTCCGGAGCTAGGATCTGCTTCAGGTTCCCAGTTTAAGCTCGGCAAACCTGAGTCATGCGACAAGCATCTGCGAGCTAGAGGAAGCTCACACGACTTCCAAGGGGTGGAGCAGAAATCTGTGGCAAGGTAAAGGGAAGCTAAAGACGAATGTTCCAAGAAAAGCGGCTTCATCCGGGGGTTGTCTCCGTTCCTTTGGCTTCTGCTTGGTTTCTGTTTGGTTTTCTTTTGCTTTCCCTTCAAGCCAACCCCCCCCGAACAAACAAACAAACAAACAAACAATGAAAAAACAAGCAGGAAGGTGTGCAGTCAACCAAAGGCCAGCCCCACTTTCCTTCGGTGCACCTCTCCCAGGCTGCCCTGCGCTGCGGCCTGGCAAAGCCTCGGAGCGCCGGACTTCTTGGCGCTGCGCGACGGCCAGAAAGACTTTTCGGACCTGCCCTGCTTGGAGGCGCCTCACCAAAACAAGAGCGTGTCGGGGGGGAGTGGGGGGGGGGAAGTGGGGGGGGGGGGGTGGGGGAATCCGGCGGCTTGGAGAAAAAAGCTTGAGGTTTTGTTGCCAATAGGGTGATAGATTTGGAATTTAGCATGCAAAATGCCTGATGCTGAGGGAACCATGAAAACAACAAGCGCAGGATAGTCTCTAAGCGTTCACCACGGACGGCAGAAGCTTGCAACGGTTCCGCAGCATCAGCTTGCGGCATCCGAGGGTCAAACTACTTGCAAGCCCCCGTTCTCGATTCATGCAGGTCCTTCAAAGGGACCTGGTCCCTGTTAAGGGCCCCCCGCCCCTCCCACGCAGGCTGCCGGAAGGCAGAAGTATGCATGCCTCGCGGTCGCTCTCCGGTCAGCGCTGGGGTCTTGTCCTTGGTTCGATCATATATGGGGGTTTGTCACGACTAGGACCCCCTCCAATTCGCTTAGTTTCTACCCCCTGTCTGTGGGGTAAGCATCTCTTATATGACGTTCAGGATTCAACCCCTGGTCTCTTGCAACAGTGAACTCAAAAAGGGTCCAGCTTGTTTTGACCTGGATCTCCTCTACGATGGGTTGCACCCTCCTACATTGTATTCCATACCGACTTGCTTCCAAAATGTGGGAAGTGCCCAGCACGGCTAGCTGCATAGACCACGCCACTGCAAAGGGTCTGAAACCAACCAGCTGCAAGTATTGGTCGACCTCCCTTTTGAGCCTCGCACCCGTGCCTAAGTCGAGAGGACGGTTTGGAGCCGCTGGATGCTGAATGGGCGCAGCGGCCTTTTGTGCTGCGGAAGTGCAGGGGCCTGCTGGACCGAATGTGCTGAGCGAGGGGATCCCAGGAAAGTCACTATAGTTTGTAACCAGGTCACGAAAGCACTGCTAGAGTTGCTCTACCTAAGCTCAGCAATCCTGGGGTGTGGGGGTGGGCCAAAATGGCTCGGGCCAAACTGGTGGCAGTTTTGCCTTCTCGTCAATTCTGTTTCCTCTTCCGCCATGGTTCCCAGACACTGTGGCGCCAAGATCCCGAAGCAAATCAAGGTTTTCGGGCCGCGAAAACTTCGATTTGGTGGGGGTTAAGCTCCGGGCCCGTCATTTCCAGTCGCGGTGCGCGTTTTCGGGCCGCGAAAACCTTGCTTTTGTTGGGGTTACAAGCTTAACCCCCGCCAATCAGCGTTTTCGGGCTGCCAAAAGCTCGCTCTTGCTGCGCGCCCCCCATGCCTGGGCGGGCCGGGCCCCAAAACTGCTTGACAGGGAGGGTTCCTTCACGTGCCGCCTTCCCGCGTTTTCGGGCCGCGAAAACTTCACCTTGGTGGGGGTTAACTCCCGTCATCTCTGGTGGCGGTGCGTGGCCTTCCTGAAGCTTAAGCGGGCCAAATCGGCGTTTTCGGGCTGCGAAAACCTCGATTTTGTGGTGGGGTTGAGCTCCCGTGAATGTCTGGTCGCGGTGCGCACGTGCGGCCTTGGCGTTTTCGGGCTTGCCAAAAGCTCGATTTGGTAGGGGTTAAAGCTGTTGCTGCGCGCGCCCCGTGTGGATTCGAGCCCGCAGCTTCCTTCGAGTCGTGTTGAGGTGTGTGCTTGCGCGCTCGGGCGCGGTGCCCGTGCCTGGGCGGGCCGGGCCGCAAGCTGCATGCACCCTTGACTGGGAGAGCTTGTTCACCAAAACTGCATGACCGGGAGGGTTCCCTTACATGCCGCCTTCCCGACCAAATCGACGTTTTCGGGCCGCAAAAACTTCACTTTGGTGGGGGGGTTAACTCCCGTCATCTCTGGTAGCGGTGTGCGTGGCATTCCTGAAGCTTAACCCGGCCAAATCGGCGTTGTTTTCGGGCTGTGAAAAGCTTGATTTCGTGGGGGTTAAGCTCCCGTCGGTTGCGGTGCACACGCGCGGCCTTCCACGAAGCTTAACCCCCGCCAAATCGGCGTTTTCGGGCTGCCAAAAGCTCGATTTGGCAGGGGTTAAGCTCTTGCTTTGCTGCGCGCGCGTTCCGAGTGGCTTCTTTCGAGTCGACGTTGAGGTGTGTGCTCGCGCGCTCAGGGGTGCTCGTGCCTGGGCGGGCCAGGCCCCAAAACTCCATGACCAGGAGCGTCGCCTTCCCGAAGCTTAACGGGGGTTAAGCACCGCGACCAGAAATTGACGCCGGGTTACGCCGTTCCGATTTAGTGGGGGTCCAAATCGGCGTTTTCGGGCCGCACACAGCTCGATTTGGTAGGGGTTAAGCTCTTGCTGCGCGCGCGGCGCGGGCTCGGCTTTATTCGTTGTTGCAGCTCGCTCGCGCGGGCGCGGTGTCCTGCCTGGTCGGGGCCCCCAAAGCTGCATGCACTCTTGACCGGGAGGGCTCCTTCACGCGCGGCCTTCCGAAGCTTAACCCCCACCAAATCGGCTTTTTCGGGCCGCGAAAACTTTCGATTTGGGGGTTAAGCTCCCGTCATTTCCCGGTCGCGGTGCGCGCGCGTGGCCTTCCCGAAGCTTCGCCCCCGCCAAGTCAGCACTTTCAAGCCGCCAAAACCTCAATCTGGTGGGGGTTAAAATTAAGCTCTTGCTGTGCGCGCCCCCGAGCAGGGTGGATTCGAGCCCGCGGCTTTCTAAATTTCGAATCGGTGTTGGGGTGTGCGCGCGCTCGGGCGCTGCGCCCTCAACGGCATTGGCTGCTGCTGTTTTCCTCGGCTAACATGCAAGCGGACGAAAAACTTCCAGCGCCTGCCTTTCTTGCCTCCCCCCGTCGTGCGATGCTTTCGTGCCCGCCTTGCTCAAGTGGTTTATCTCGGTGGCAGCTGGAAGCAGCTTTCATGTGAGGGACGAACCCTTGCAGGGTACGTTGACCGCAGAACACAGCTTGGGTGATGCCACGCTATCCCAGGATGGAAGCTAGCAACATATCTTGCAGCCGGTGGATGGCATTTCTTGGATCATGATTTTATGACACAAGCGCCGTAGGATTTACTATCGGCACGGGTTCCAGCTCCATTTCCTTTTTTTGAAGCGCGCAGAACGCCCCAAGCTGAAGTTGAGTTTCCTGGGGTGATGGTTCGGGGCCGTGGAAACGATTTTGATGGAACAGTAAAATGCTTCGTGCACATACATCCCCCCAAACATCCCGCATAGATGCCTGCTCAGCACTTGAATGGTTCGCGCTGGTTTTTGTTGTAGAAACCGACCAAACAAGTTGCAACAGAGGGAAAGATGCCTGCTCAGCACATGCTCGGTCGCCCTGGCTTTTGTTGTAGAAGCCGACCAAAAAAGTTGCAACAGAGGGAAAAGGTACCGGGCGAAAGCAGACGGCACAATAAGTGACATTGGTCTCTAAAGGGAAGCCAAGAGGAAACCACGCATTTTTGGGGACCCCTATTTGAGAAACACCTATTTCAGACCCTCTTGGCTTCTGTTCATCAACGGCCCCCCCCCCCCGGTGCAGGACCGCCAGGCCGATCTGGAGAGGGAGGCCTTGCTTGAGGTGGGGGCCCAAGCAAATTCATGACGGGTTGTTTGGGTCAGGGCTCCCAAAAGGCCATGCCTCTACAAAAGTTTTTTGTTTTTGTTTTGTTTTTTAGGGGGGGGGATGTATGGAGAATATTCGGTTGCCATCCTGTTTGGAGTCCATGACCCTGGGTGAGCAACTCCGTTTGCGGGCAAATGATGGCGCATCGAAGGACTGTCTTCAAAAGATCGGGGTCTTTGCACTGACCCTCCAACAGGCTTTTGTTGTCATGTGCGAAGGTCCGGATGACTTGTGCAGATTGCATCAAGGGTCTGACCTGCGACGCTTGAAAGCAAGTTGACCCTCTTGGCCTGTGAGCGCTTCCCAGGAGTCGCTTAGGGCTTCCTCGTACTCCCCCTTTTGGGTTGCTTTGGACATCACCTGTATGGCAAATTTCAGAAGTTACAGGAGTTAGAGGACTCCAGGTGGGATGACGTTGGCGGGAATGTGGGTTTGTCGCCAAATGAGAAACTCTGAAACATGTGGGTTTCCTTCACGAACCAATCTGGGGAAGCTGACGTTCAATAGCAGATTCTTTGGTTTCAACGATCAACTGTTCATCCCCTCCCCAGAAGGGAACGACCCTGCAGAAGAGCAAAGGGACATCACATGGGAGGAAAGGCATCCTTCTGACCCCCGAAGTCTGCCAGGCCGTGAGCGGCACACAGCAGGAGGTGCGGGTGGGATATTCCTGGAGCATCGCCCAGAACCGGGGTGAGGGCCCGAGGAAGATGCCGCGCCCCGGCAGCAGAGAGGAATCGAAATCGGCCTGGTGCCCCAAAGCATTTGGCCAAAAACAAATTCTTTGGATGGCTTGAGCCATGGAAGTAGTCCGAATTTATGGTCCTACCCAGTTCTGGGCAAATCAAATCTCGCTCGGATTTCGGTTTGCGCCCGATTTGGGGTCTATTTCAGGCTGGCCGTTCACCCAAAACCTGCTTGAGTTTCTGGATTTGTCACAAACATGGTGACCCAGCAGGGTCATCTGACGTGATTGTGTATTTGAATATCTCTCTCTTTCTGTTGGCTTGAAAGGGAATCAGCCATGAACGATGACTATGCAGAATGCAGTTGTTTTGCCCCTGGCTGCTACGCAAATGGAGAACTGAAGCCTTTGAGTGCGACTAAGTGTGATTGTTGGCGGTAGGTGTGGGGATCCGATTTGAGAACTCAACAACCTTTGCTTTGTTGCCAATGGGCATGTCGTGTTGGACGGGTCCGGCAAGATTCCCGCAACTGGATGCGCCTTCTGCGTTCCAGACGGGTAATGAAGTTGTGTTCCCATGCGAAGGCTCGACGGAAGCTGTTCATCATAAAAGTTGGCATGGGCAAATGCTAGCTGTGGGATGTGTTGGACGTGGTTCGGGTTGGATGCTCTTTCTTTCTGACGTCGGTTTGAATAGCCGTTATCCTGCCGCAGACTTTGTCCAAGGAGTGCTTGTGGAGACGACTCTTTTCGCATGCAGCTTCTCATACTGCGTTCCATGGTGGAGAGTGGAGTTGTAGTGTGTCAGCATTGCAGTGCCGTACAGTACAGGAAGCTTCTCATGTTGCCATGGGAAATGTGTGTGTGTGTGTGTGCAGTCGTGCTTGTTTGGGCCGCAATTTTCCAGGCGCTCAGATGTTGGGCGTACGTTGCCATACCACAAAATGAACTACGCCCGGCGGTGTTGTTGCTGACCACCAGGCAAAACAACTTCATGTGTTGCTTGCGCTTTACGTTGGGTGGGAGTTTCGCGGTCTCTGGGTGGGCCAACAATGCGGGTGAAACTGCATAGGTGCAACTTCGGGTTTTCGCAGTCAATTTTGGGAAATGAATGGCCAGCTTTCTATTGCTTTTGTTCAGAGGCAGCCATGTGAGAAGCTGCCCGACTGATGCACATGGGCATATTTCAGGCTCGAAGACTACCTTCGCCACGAAATGCAGACAGGCGGGATCGAACATGGGGCAATGCGTGGAGCGATGTTGACGTTGGTCGATCATGTTTGAGAACCACCCATAGAACAATCTTGTTTGTCGGGAGGCCGTACTTTGAACCAAGGAGAACGGAGGGGAATCCCCATGTGGCATGTAAATCAATCGGCAGGTTCGAGCTTGCATTGTCAAAGCAACTGGCAGACCGACGTTGAGCAGCCAGTTTTCTCGGGGCCGAGGGCCGAAAAGACCTACGAGTGACACAACAGGGGCAAAGGTCTGATTTTGGCACAATTGTCTGGTGGTTCATTCTCCATTTTCTCAGGATGCCCCTCAGGGTGGTCCGGGGTAAACCATGGCATTTTCTCCAAATCCGAGTGCCAACTCTAAGTTGGGTTGCAATCAGCTGGATTCCTACCATGAATCAACCACGATGGATGAATGCTGGATTCGCTTCTCATTTTATCCATGTTTGCCAACTTGTTGCTCCCCACTTTTGAAGCAGTGGCCCTTAGGCTGAATGGTGGCTTAACTTGGTTGCTTTTTTCGTGGCTTGCCTGCACCTGGCACTATCTATTTGACGCCACGAGGTGTGATTTGAGGGCAGGAAGAGTCCACCATGTGTCAACCACGAGACGAAGCAGAAGCTGCGGCAACTGAAGGGACCAACGGATGTTCAACCACCTGACACGACGAGAAAGCATCAACCAGTGGCAATTGAACCAACCAACAAATTTTCAGCCACAAAAACAAGGAGAAAACCCACACCTACGACAACTGCGGCCACTGAAACCCGCGGATTTCGCTCACAAACTGACCCCCCTCGGTCGCCTCGGGCTCGAGGCCTCTACGACGGGGAGACCTTCCTGGAGCCCAAGTACGCCTTCGCCGCCTGAGCTCCACCAGAGTCGGTGTACGTGAAAACCAAGCGGGCCCTTTTTTGGTTGGTGGGGGTGGGTGGGTGGTTTGGTTTGGTTTGGTTTGGTTTGGTTTGGTTTGGTTTGGTTTGGTTTGGTTTGGTTTGGTTTGGTTTGGTTTGGTGGGTGGGTGGGTGGGTGTGTGGGTTGGTTTGGAAAACCAAAAGGACCGAGGCCATTTTTTGTTGGTGTCCCCCCCCTATCATTTGAGATACCTAGTTGAGGTTTGGGAGTTAACATTCACGATGTGCTTGGATGAGCAGGTCAACTTTGAAACGGAAGCTCGCCCGAGAAAACTGCGGGAAGCGCCCATGGCGTGCAAAAAAAGACTGCTAAGCCCCACGCGGACCATACCAAAACTCCACCCACTTTGGGCCCTGTTTCCCTCATGGAGGCCTCCCAAAGGTGTTTTTGAATGCACAGCGCTTCAGCTACGCTATGCTCTTGGCGTATTTCTTGGTGTTTTGCTTTTGGGTTCTGTTCATTGTTGGGGGCTGCAAGAAACAACATGTTGGGTTGCCGGGGGGGGTTGGCCCGGGACGATGGCGAGTTGAAAGTGCATCGCATTGAACAGGTGCTCAAATGTGCCACGAATCACTGCATTTTCAAGCATGCCTCCCAGGAATGTCGCTTACCAAACCCTGCAACTTCGCGTACCCGAGATAACAACTGGAGTACGCAGCCGTGACAGTTCCACGTTTTTTTTGTTAATCAGCGGACGTATAAATATATATATATATATATAAATATATGTATATATGTATGTATATATAAACAGATATATATGTATACATATATATAGACATATATATATATATATATCGATATATATATATATATATATATATATATATATATATATATACGTACATGCCTCTCGTGTAGAGCATCCACATACCGCACATCTTCATGCCACCACTTTCGCAAGAACGGAATGGGCGATACCTTCGCCAAACGAAGTAGTATGACCAAAGCTAAACCTGCAGACTCCATCTGCCTGAGCACTCAAGAAGGTGCGAGCACGTTACAAAGCAATCCTGCATTACATCACCCCGGCCGAACATGAACGCTATCGTCCCCACCCCACCCCACCCCAAGAGCGGTCACCTCTCATCTCATGAGCCCTATCATCCCCACCCCACCCCACCCCACCCCACCCCACCCCAAAGAGCGGTCACCTGTCATCTCATGAACGCTATCCTTCCCACCCCACCCCACCCCACCCCAAAGAGCTGTCGCCTCTCCTCTCATGAACGCTATCATCCCCACCCCACCCCACCCCACCCCAAAGAGCGGTCACCTCTCATCTCATGAACGCTATCATCCCCACCCCACCCCACCCCACCCCAAAGAGCGGTCACCTCTCATCTCATGAACACTATCATCCCCACCCCACCCCACCCCACCCCACCCCACCCCACCCCACCCCACCCCACCCCACCCCACCCCACCCCACCCCACCCCGGGCCAACCCCCCCCGTCAACCCAACATGTTGCCACAATGCCAAGACTTTGGGAAGATGTAGACTTTCTGCGCTCTGACCTAGGAATATCTAAATGGGGCCGACCCCTCATACGGAGAGCGTCCAATTTGTGGTTTTTGAGTTTGAGTCCATGTCACTTCGGTGATGGCCTCTATTTCTCAGCTCGAGTGGACCCAGCCGTCCGTGAATTCTGCATGGGTATGTCTCTTTGTATGTGGCGTCTCCTGCCAGCCAATGTTTCATATAGGGTTGGCCAAACGAATGTGTTTGTGCCAAGGTACCGTGTTTGGGGTCGTCTGAAGGGAAAATCAAGGGAAGGTTCTTCTAATTGGGGGTTGTTGTCCTAGTGTGGCAAAGTTCGACGGACTTGAGCCTCTGGTGCCTCATATGTATCTTCAGTATGTTTGTAACTGTATGCCAAAGGTGTAAAAAAGATGTTGCCTGGTTCCCTGGGTTTCTTCCCTGGTTTCTTCATTGGGGTCGCACAGCGTGCGCTGTTTGAATTTGCCACTCGATGCCACTTCACGCCACTGTTTCTTGCTCCCGTGCTTTTACAAGCTTTTCACTCGCTACATGGACGGCAGGATTGATCCCTTTTTCTCTGCTCGATCCGAGGACATGGGCCTGAAGCTGCCGGGCATGCCGGGCCGCGAGGCGATTCCAAAGGCCGGGCATGCCGGGGGGGGTTGGGCCAGTGGGGGCTCTGGTGGTGATTCGAGGGCCTGAGGTGTGTTTTCTTTATGTTTTGTTTGGGGGAAACCAGGAACCTCCTTGCTCCTTTTATGCGGGGCTTGAATGGGAAATGAAGGAACCGTGCCGATTGTGAGGGGGTTTATGAACATACAACCCCTTGAAGGCTTTTTGTTTTGTGAGTTTAAACCACCCCTGACCCTCCTGAGTAGGGAGAATATACTTGGCCAGCTCCTAGAACATCAAACCTATATGCTTTTGATCCCTTTCGGGGCGTGTCTGACCCAAGACTCTCTGGATGCCGTCACTACATTTCCTCAGAAAAAAAAGAAAACACATGGGACTCACAATTTTCCCATGTCCTTTAGGGTAATCAAACAATTTTGGCCCTGGCTCTCGTGGTTTCAGAGTACCATATATTCAGAACTTCTTGTACCACAATACCATATCGGATAAACACCTTACCATCACATCACACTAGCTTTGCATGGTTTCATGTTCACTTTGCAGGGAAATAGCCAATGAATCCGGAAACGGAGATCGCTATCTTGGAGGTTCGTGGCACACGGCAGTTGCAACCCTAGATGAATCATGGTTCTTTATTTCTCAAGCCACTGGCGTGTATCTGTGTGAACCAGGGGGGTCAGCGTTACCTCCTCCCGATCATAGCTACGGACAGCTTCATCGCTCCTTCTGGGGGGGGTGTCGAGATGTCGGGGTCGAGGAGTTGGCTTCAAGTTGCGTTGGTGTTTTGTGGAGCTGAACGCCGGAAGCCAAACACCAACGGAACCGGTCAAAAAGCAGCAACGCCAATCCACCAAACTCGCGAACATCTACAAGAGCCAGCTAAAACAGCGAATCCTGCGAGAACGAAACAACTGCACACACGATGAAAAAACCATCAGCCAAGGCCACCGCCAGAACTCCCCGACCCGAAATCCAGAACCTGAGGCCATCCGTGATTGGAATGCCTCGTCCTTCTCGGCGGACCAAGCGGTGACTTTGCAGATGCGCGGGGCCGAGCGGTTTTTTGGCCGTGGTGGGATTGGTCCAAGAGGGCAATGCCAAGCTTGGTTCGCCATTTGCGGATTGGCAAAACAATGATTCACATGGCTGAACTTGATTTTTAAGTTCCGCACAACCCCATCTAACTATTTGGGCTGGGCCCTTGTCTTGTAGTATTTGGCTGGATCTTGCTGAGGGTGTATATATATATATATCCATTTTCTTTTGCTGGGACCTCAGCAAGTTGAACATGTGGCAGCGAGTCAACCGCCAACCTAGTGAAACAACCTCGCTACCGCAACCAGCTGTTTCGGGGTTCATCAGGTTGCTCCATGTCGGTTTCTTTGGAGGGCGCGGCCCTCGGTCGGTCGGAATTTCAGTCTGGGACCGTGGGGGCGGCCATGAACACAGGCACTTCGGAATCTCCAAGCCGCCACTGTAAGCCAGCCATTGGGAGTTTCCATCCAGTCAGCCACTGGGAGTTTCCATCCAGTTTTCCGGACTCGAGGCTGGGGGCCGCGCGGAGCGCGGTGGGCTGGCACAGCCACGGAGCCTCGGTGCAGATGACCATCTTTGGGAGGCTGCTGGGAGTGACTGGGGGGGGAGGGGGGCAGGGGAGGAGGGGGGGGGAGGGGGGGGAGGGGGATCTAATCCCCAAACGGCGCAAACACAAATTGGAGGTATACAACCAGAGAGAAAGATGGGCAAGGGGAGGGAGGAGCCCCTAGAAGTCTTTGCCTCAAGTGTTGCGTGGGTTTGCCTTTCTGCTGGTTGAGGGGAGGGAGGGGACCCCACGAAGGAAAACCTCCTTGTTTTTGTTTTTGTGGGGTTCGGCCTTTGGTTTCCTCTCTGGTTCTGGTTTGGTTTGAAAGCTGCATTTTGAGGCGCTCTCAGGAAAAAAGCACACTTTGGGTGGAAACATCCTTCAAACCACGCATTCCGGTATACTTGGAGATGTCACTTTAATGGACCTTGGGCTTCGCCCGAAGGGTTCCGGAGGCTTCTGGAAGGTCCGGGAATGGAGCGCCTGGACAGGTGCAGGTTGCGGGGGTTCCCTCCACCACAAGGCCTCACCTGAAACAAAGGGCCATTTGCAAGGAACCACGTTGAAACCTGGAAAACCTGATTTGGGATGGCTGGGAAAAAGCGATCAAGTGGCAAATCCCTATAAATGATCTGAGCTTCCTTCTGACGTAGGGAATGCAGCCCCAGAGTCCACATCCACAATCTTCATTTTGGGTTCCTCTCCAAATGGGAACCCTAAACTGTGAATGGTTCCTCTTCCATTTCTTGGGGGTCGGATCTGCCAGGAAGCGGTGGTTCCTGTACCCCAGGGGCCAGTACCCCTGGGGCGACGGCCCGGGCGGCGGCTTCTCCTTGACGGACTGGCTCCAGCTGGTGTACCCCACGCTCCCGGAGGAGCAGAGGCGCCGAGTTGGGGGATGCGGATCCTTCAAACACCAAGTCTCATTTGAGGTGTCGACTGTCTTGCCGCATTTTGTGAGGTATGTAGAGTAGAGTCTATAATAATAGTAGTAATACTACGACTGCGACTACTAAGGATAATAGTAATGCTGGTTGTAGTAGTACTACTTAGTAGTAATAATCATAATGATAAGATTCATAATAACAAGGGGTGCCTTTTGGAGAGACTCCCTTGTTGTGGGCTTGAAATGGAAACCAAAAGAACACCAGGCATTCTTAGGGTACACTTATTCCCCAATGTTTGGGACTGGTTGCAGCCCGGTCAAGGAACCAAATGGGGACTTTAGAAAGGCCAGGAAAAAGCGGAAGTGCCGTTGGACTAGTTACAACCCTCTTGTTGGCTTCCCATGAGCCTTAGGCTCCCGGAGTGCGGGGTCAACGCATTGAAACATGTGGGGTAGACTGCAACAAATCGACTGCACACAGTCTTAAAATAGGCTACGAAAAGGCGGGGGTGTCTCCTTTGGTTCGAATCTCAACCCATAATAGCGAGCAAGCGCCGAGGCCGCTGGAGTGCGTGGTGGAGGCCGGCGACGTGGTCTACGTGCCGGACGGGTGGTACCACGCCGTGGTGAACCTCGCCGATACCGTGGCGGCGTCTCGCTTCGGTGCGGGTAGGGGGTCGCTTACCGGCCGGAGGGGGTCTCATTCTTTTTCCGTTTGTGTGGGTGGGTGGGGTGGGGGGTCTGCAATTTTTGAGGGATTCCCAAAATTACTTTTGGGGGTTGATTGGTACGCGCTTCATTACCCACCTTTGCTTGTGGATGTGTTCAAGGGTTTTAATGCTTGAATCTATTGGCAGGGCCATGCAATTTCCACTTGGCGCTGAAGCCGACATGTTGTAGGGAGGCGCGTGTTTGTCCCCCCTGCATTCAAACATGTTTTGGCAATCTTGAGAAACATGTTTTGGCAATCTTGAGGATGGACCCGGTTGTGGGCTGGTTGATGCCTTTGTTGATTTACTGTGACTCGTATTGACAGGTCGATGTTTCGTTTCAAAGGCACCAGCCGCATCTCGTTCGATTTGCACATGGTGTTCAAGGATCACCTAGTACGCATACGTTGCAGGTTCACTTGGGGTACATAAGACTCTCAATACTGATCTACGCATTTGTGCATATGTGTATATATATATATATGTTCGAGTGCAGGTTGAACGTTTTGTCCATCCACAGTAGGAGTTAACTCTTCACCAACCATTTGGACCTTTACCAGTCAATTATCACGATGACATTTATGGCCCAGAGGTACATGAGGTAGGTTCTCATGTAGTCAGTTGCATGTTGTACATTCAAGTGGTTGCCAAAGCATGATCCAATCACTGCTTTGGCTCAAGTGCTGAAAACAGCGCGTTGCACCGCGCTAGCCCCAAGGTTAAGGGAGAGGTCGCAGTCACGGAGGGGTTCGTTCCTTTTAAGGTCCTGGGTTCCCCCGTTGTTGACAAAACTGTGTTTCCCTCTCCTTTGAGTGGTTATCAGCCGTAACGCTTTTCGGGTAAACGAACCCTTCCGTGACTGCGACCTGTTGGTCGCACATGGAAGTCGGCCCTCACCGCGGCACACGCGGTGGGAAAGGGCCGCGTGCCCGATTGTACAACACTCTGCAACAGATCGTCGTCGACGAGTACAAGCGGCAGAACAGACGATTCCGGTGGATCAGGTTTGCGGACGCCTCGAAGCAACAGGTCGAGGCGCTCTTCTCCTGGCGTGAGTCACTGGATAGTTGGCACCTGTGGAATTTTGACCAAGAAGCCTTCGACGTGATCCAGGCCGCGGACAACGCTTATCAGCAGCGTCTCGCATTGGTTGAAACCACAGGAGTGGTATTGCCGCAGGGTGCGCCATCTCAGGATCAAGCCGCAGCCTCAGGCGCGGCGGGAGCATCAAGCAGTGCAGCGGACTGGCTTCGTCCTCCGACGCCTCCATCAGCTTCCTCCTGGTTGCAAGATTCGCGCACTCCTTTGCCTCGCATTCGGCCATCTGCAGAGGAAAGACAAGCCGCAAAGTCAACTCTTCGCGGGGTATACGCTAAAGCTGCGGAAACGCGGCGGGAGAGCAGCAGGGAGCGATCAACACAAAGATCGAGGTCCCCATCGCCAAGAAGGTCGAGGTCTCCATCGACATCACCGAGACGAGGACCAACTGCTGCTGCCCCTGTGGAACCACGGGCCCATAGTGTTGAACCCGCGCTTGCGCGGGAGGGAAGGCCATCCAGAACTTCCCTAGCCACTCGGCCCATCGTTTTGGCTCCACAGAATAGCATTTACCCTGTGACGAGGTTTGACGAACACGGTACCTGGGTATTGGTGCGGGAGGCATCACAACCACGTGAAGCGGCTCCTCGTCGGCGAGCGCAACGGACGTCTGGGCAGCTTCGCCAAGCCGATCCTTACCTCCTCGCTGACGAGACGTGGAGGGACCCGCCAAGGAGGTCCTCCACGAGCTCACGCTCACGGTCTCCTGACCGCCGCCCGGCGCCTGCGGAAACCTTCCGCCTCGACGCCTACAGCTCGGACGAGGACCCACCGCAAAACTTGGAGTCCATCAGGACGGGCAGGTCAGCATACGTGCCTCGGCGCGTTTACGAGGCGCCGACTCACTCCGAGCCCATCGCGCTTCACAGCCGAAGAATCGGGGCAGTTCAACCGCCGCCCCCAAAGGCCGCCCCCAAGGTCATCTTCGGCAGCAAGCCACCGGTGCCCAAGGAGGTCCCCAAGACAGTTTCTCCAGCGCCTGCAAAGGCAGATATCCCGAGGAAGTCACCGCCAAGGGCCAGATCTCCGGTTCGGACTCAGAGTGCATTCGGTTACAAGGCACCTCCGCGAGGCTTGAACAAGGCCGAACCCAGAAGCAAATCGAGCTCAAACCCGCCACAATTCGGGTACATCGTCAAGCCGCCGCCTCCGCAGGTCGTTCAAGCAGCTGCTGCTAGCGCTGCAACTCCCGAAGCTGGCACGCGATTCCGCTCGCCACCAAGGAGGGCACCGCCTGCGCCCCCGCCGCCACCACCTCCGCCTGGAAGGCCGGTGCCGCCCAAGGAGCTTGTTGTTGCTCTTGACTGGCACGGAGTTCTTGACGTTGGGCAGCAGGGACCCCACCTCAACCCGGAAGTGATCCGACATCTCGTTCAGTTTGCAGCGGACTACGCACCTATAAATTTTATAGTGCTATCCTTCGTGGGCAGGGCTGCAAGCGAGTATCGCCGCCGCGAATTTCAGGTCGCCCTGGAGCACGCGCGGGCAACATCTGGACTCACTTTTTCTGCGATAAAAATCGTTCACGAACGGTTGGGAAGGGGAGGCAAAGCAGACGCCCTGCAAGGGCTGGGCGTACACGCCCTTATTGACGATACAGCATCGATTGTCCGTGAAGCTCAAAAGACAGGCATCGCGGCGTTCCGCAACTTTCCGCACTTCGGTCCGAGCGGATTTGCCAACGCGCTTGAGAACCTTGGTGAGTTCATCGAGTCCCGGAACAGACAATCCATTCCGGCGGCAAGGGGCCTGCTTCCATCGCAGTACCTCGAGGAGATCCACCGATCTGCATCCCAGCTGCCCGCCAGCCGGGTACTTCGATAGCCATTGCTGCAAGCCGTTAAAACCGTCGCTTTGCGCGGTACAGCTTTTGCAATTACAAGCCTTCGATTTGCAGACAAATTCTCAATACAGCTTGGCAACATCCCTCGATAAAGCACCATAGTGCGGCAGTGCGGATCAATCAATCTACAAGTACAATTACAAATACAGAATTCATCAGGTGCAAAGCAGCAGGGCGCATTTTCTTGAGTGGCTCACTTGAGCGTTTCGCAACGTATTTTCTTGAGTGGCTCACTTGAGCGTGTCGCAATCAGCTGCCAATCCAGGGATATCTCCTCGTAGCACCTTTTGACACGCTGCTCAAAGCGCGTGGAGCTAGCTTCGTGTGAGTGCAAAAGTTGCATTGCTGTGTCATGGCTTCAACGGGTTTGTCACCGCCATCAGAACCCCGTTCAAGGTCAACCCCAAATAGGGATTCCGAACCGGATGACCCTGACCTAGCCATGGTTCCTGCAGTTATGTCCACAGTTCGCACATCCACACCTCAAAGAGCAGCCCAAACACGACCATCATCACCCCCGAGTGGTCCGATCGTGTCAGAACCGACATCATCCGAAGCTTCCCCAGCCATTCAGTTTCCTTCACAGGGATCGCAATTACCTGACCCGATGACTAACGTACCCGCTGCGGCATTTATAGCTGGAGCTGCGGTGCAGCAAGCTCATCGAGCATCCGACCTCGCTGCTCAGGCAGCCAATCACGCCTTGCATCAACAGCAGGCCGCCGATCAGGCGAGACAAGAGGCCGGATGGATCAGGGAAAGGGCTGTAAGAGAAGTTTCAGACGTTAGGGTTCAGGCCGCTCAGCTAGCTTCGCAAGCACAGCAGGCTGTTCAAACAGCACAACAAAGTGAGGCTCAGGCTAGGCAACTCATTGAGCAGACACGACAGGAAGCCTTAGGCCATGTCGAGAACGCACGACAGGTTGTTAATGCCACTCAACAGGACGCTCAGCAAGAGGTTCAACGCATTGTTCAAGAAGCTCAACAGGCAATCCTACAAAGGGAGCAAACCATTGCCAGTCAAGAGCATACCATTCGTGGATTGTCTCAGGAAAATTCTGTGATGCATCAACGACTTGGTGATCTCGAACGTGTTGTTGCGCACCTCACCCAACAAGCTCGTGCGACCCCTGTTCCAATGCAAGAGTCCCCGCCGAAAGCCGCATCAATAGCCGAAACAGCTACGGAACCAAGCGCGGCTAAAGCCTCAAGTCAAGGCACAGTTCCCCCAGGAACCCATCAGCCGGTTGGAGCACCTCAGGTTTCAAGTTCACAAGATGCCTCCGGTGTTGCCGCATCGTCGCAAGGGAATGCTTTTACAAGTACTATCCCCGACCCTCCGTGTGGTTCTGTTCAAAGTTCAGGACTTGGTCACGATGCCCCAGCTGATTCAAGGGACCCTGGTGGGGGTGCAACAAGTCAACATCTCGTAGGCCATTCGGCAGTGCTAGGAGCAGCGTCCTCTGTTGGAGACGCAGCCCCCGGCGCGTCGAGGACTAGCGGGTTGGGTAGAGACGGTCCAAGGGATCAAGCCGATGTGAGAGTGCAAGTGACGGCTTTAGCGGAAATGGTTCAGCAGCTTTCCCAATTGGTTGCTAATCAAGTGGCTCCGCCACCTCCGCCTCCGGCCGCACCACCTCCAGTGCCTCCCATCCCCCTTTTTGGGGCGCCGCCTCCGCCGAAAGCTGGCAATGGCACTCATGTTCCACCAGTACCAATCACAATGTTGGGAGGGTTATACTCGTCATCCCCGCAAGCGCCATCGGCAGCAAGCTCCGACACATCATCAGACCCCAATGGAGATGATGATACCCCACAATGTCGAGTTTGCGGCGGCAGCCATGAAGACACTGATTGCCCATACCTCACCATGAATGGTGGTGGGGGAGGTGGGGGAGGCCCTGGCCAGTTCCCCAATGCAGACCCGTCTCAAGCTGCCGATCCTAGTGTAGGCATGACCGTCACCGATCACGCCACGCATGAGGAATCCGTTGTTCGC